ACTATATACAGAGGATGGTGAATAGAGAGAAGACGATCTTTGCTTTAGGATAGATTTCGGTTTTTTGCTCGCGTCACCGGAGTAGCTTCTCGGCGATTCTGGTACATCGGATAGACTTGCTAAATCCGAAACATCGTCAAAACCGCTATGCGTCTGGAAATTTATGCAGGTTTTGAAGTATCTTATAATTTACAGTAAAAACGCTAAAAATAAGATTTCTTAAAAAGGATTTTAAAAACTTTTTAAGAATTAACAAATATTACTGAGCTAGAGAGCTGGAAAACATGCACGGGTGAACAGTTAGAACTTGATCGCTACACCCCGGAAGATGAACGGTAAAGCGATCTGTCCGAAAACTGGCAGCCATGGAAAACTGAACGATAATGAGAAAGACCGGTGTCCCAGTTCCCTGAACGAAGTTCATTCGGATGCATCGATCATGGTGTAGGTTTCAAACACAGAAACAAGCAAAAACCACTGAAATTCCTACATCACCAAGTTGGCTCGGATTGTTAACGCACTGAAGGCAATGAGATGCATTCGCATTCCAGGGTACAGCTGCATTAGGCTCTTCTATCCTAAGCTTCACGTCTCCGGTGTACATTCACTAGCTTTACTAAGATATGCACACTGCCTTTGAAAAGGTCATTCTTGCAGTGCTTCATATAGTTCCCATGAAAAATCATTAGTCGATGATGGGAGCTGCGTAGCAGCGTGTAGTACTTGCAAAAAAGTAAACAAACATTCTGGCGACCTTCAAAGCGGTGGCACACATACATTGAACAGGAGAAAGGCATTGGCTGGTGACATGCAAATCAAGCTCGAAAGGCCTGGCACGGCTATGCTGAGTGTGCGAATGCATCCCGGTAATATTATTAATATATCAGGATCTTCACACAGTTTGTCTGCGTTGTCTTAGTAATTTTGGTAATTACCAGTCGGCTGTGGCTACTACGCTTTGGCTCATTTTGTTGTGTACTGCTTGTTCGCCGCGAATATGGATCCGTAATTTGTACAGTAATTACTGATAGCCGGGGTTTGTTGGTTTTCTCATCATGCAAGGACGAGACCGGTGTTCCTTTCATTTCGTCTGGATAGTTCAAGCCGTTTTCTGGATTTCTTGACAAAAGCGACGGCTGTAATTATTCCACTTTAATATCAAAATAATTTTTGAAATTCAGCCCAATGTAACATTTTTGAATGCGCTAATACCTGAACTCCAGAAGATCCGCCTCGGTCCGAAAACCTGGATGCTTCCGATTGTGAATTGCTCACGTTTTTCGACGATGATTGTCGAACTGCTGCGACCAAGTTGCCACTGTTGCTGCCTTCGGCAAGTTCCAAATCCTGAAAGTAATACAGACTAGTTTGAAGAAATAGTCGGAAGCATTTGGATAATTTTGATAACCACATATTTATGAAACGAGTGCTAAATGCAGTTTATGCTACAACATTAGGCATTTGCGATAATTTGCAAGCGACCCTAAAATATACTCAGAGACCAAAAGTGTAGCAACTTTCAGTCATATTTCCTAAAAAGTGCCTTTCAAGGAATCAGAACTCACATGACAATTTGCTATTCACTGCACTTTCTACGCTTCAAATTAATTATAAACATATAAATATTTCTGTAATATGTTTGATCAATATATCAACTTTTTGATGTCCCATTCAAATTTATTATTTTATCTGATTATGTTTTTCGAAAAAATTAGAGCCGCAGCTGAAAAATACTAAATATGAAGACAAAAAGTCAAAAGCGACAATATATTTTAAACCTTATGAGGAAATAAAGCACTTAAAAGTAGTATATTTTAGCCACAATAAGTAAAGACTGAAAAGATTATTGGCGGTTCCTTTTTTCGAGGATCATTAAAAACAAGACAAAGACAGCTAAAGTCTCTGAAATGTTAAGTATCTCATCACCAATTTACCTTCGAAACAAATCAACGAGCCGTAGAAAGATCCTTTTGTCTCAATAATTCTAGCCAGCGGACTGGATTTGAAATAAGGCATCAGCTGCCAAGGTACGAGGCTTGTTTGAGCATAAAAGCAAAATAGTCTAGCACAAAATTTTTTAAAAGAAAATTTCCTCTTTTCCAAAATCTAGGATCTAAATCAAGTGCAGCTATCAATGTCCACAACAGCGCATCCTAACGTACCATGAATTAGACAAAATAAGCCAGAAATCAATGAAAATTTCGAATTAGATCTGAAGTAAAAAATTTTTTTGGAAAAAATTGTTAACGAGGGAGGGAAAGAAGAGGACAGAAGAAGGCAAGGAGAAAGAAGAGAGATGAGGTATGTATTCAGCTCGGTATAAGTAAATAGTCAAACAAAATGGACTAGTTGCTTTTCAAAAAAGAAATCGCGTTTTCGGAGCGCACTTTGAGAAGAAACCAACAATCGAAGACTTTACTTTTCCAAAGCAAGGCAGATGCGCCAATTTCGCGGATAATCTATTTGCAATCGCTTTCAAAACACATAGTAAATAATACACCAAATAACAAGACTGCCCGAGCTTCCAATGCGGGCATCCTATATTACTGAAGTTACTGGGATGCTTCCATGCACCAAGGCGTAGTTATGCCAGACCCATCCATCTTAAGAGCTATGTACCTCTAGTAAGCGCCTGCCGCCAGTTCGATATATGTTTTACTTATTCGGGGCTCTCCCGAGTGATCGCTTTCATTCTCATGAGTACCACTCACAAACGCGCGAAAGATTTACAACATTTGATCAAATTACTTTATGCGCATTAAGTGCCACAAACAACAAATTCTAATTTCATTAGTAAATGTGTCGATGGCTTTCTCTGAAAAGCTTGGGGCTCAAAAACTAGAGAAATTTTGCGTCTGGACTACAAAATGATTAAAATTGGTAAGCTATTCCGAATTTCCAAAGCGTTCTGGTATGAACCTGTTGGGAGGAAGCTCGATAAACTCGGCCAAGACGTAAAGCATTCTTGTCATGTTCAACGGAACTATTGCTGCTGTTCTCGTTCTCTTCGTTCACAGCTTCTTTGATATCCGGCAAAGAAACCGCGGATGCATAGAACGGAGACGAACGATAAGGGCTTGGTGCCAAAGTACGGAGTAAACGATAGCGACGGTCGCTCCAGTAAGACGGTGCGGGCGTAACAGTTCTCGAATCCTCTGAGGTCTGCTGAGATCCAGACGATCGATCTGACTGTAGCTGCGAATATCCAGCACGACTTAGAAGCCGAGCACGCGAAAACTCAGGTTCCGCCATCGCTTCTGTTAGCTAAACATCAGAAGCGCCTCTAGGCTTCTCCAGTCTGGCGAATTGCTGTTTTTCGTTTCAAAAGATGCTTTACAAGAGGAGACACTTTTTGAACATCCTTCCCAGAAGTCTGCACTTCAGTCAGGAAATCTCGAAGTGTTTGGGAAATTAATACAGTTGAACAAGCAGACGATTTTTGAACCTTGGAAGAAAAACCCAGCAAGTTTTGCAGGATATTGGAGTTTCCAGAAAAATAATCAGGCACTGAGCAATAATACCCCGACTTAACATCTGCATTCCCTCCAACATTTAGAGATAGATACTAATATAGCGACAATAACAGAAAGCCGCAAATTTACGATTCGTATCAAAATTCATTGAATTCGGAGAGAAATTAACAGAGACAGGTCTTGATCCTACAGTCTTGCCCATGACAACTTTCATTGTTGACACAGCGTGAACAATTGTAGAAACAGACTCGTCACATCACATCCTCACCAGTATCTTCATCGTCATCATTATCGTTGTTGTCAGTATCGTCGTTAATATCATCGTCGTCAATATCATCAACATTTTCATCATGAATATTAATAACAGAATTACCACCAATATTATAATAACTACGCGGGCGTTTTACTTGTTTGATGTGGTGTGAAGCCCGGTACAGCAGCAAGCGAAATGACAAAAGTGTGATAATATGGCACCTGCTTTGGGGCAAAGGCTTCCGAATTGGAAGCGATAAAACGAGGTTTGACTATTGCAGTAAGATAAAGTGCATCTAGAGAAAACGGGGAAGAAGTAGCTGAAGAGGTGTACTGAGAATCCGTAGAAGCAACAGCAACAGCAGCAGAGTAATAGCAGACAATCCAGCTAGCCAAGTGCCCGGCTAGTTATTTTTTATCAAGAAATACAAGTGACACGTGCAAATATACATTCCACCAGTTCAAGTATGTGCAAAAGTAACGAACGAGCGAACGAACGAACGGTCCGGAGCAATTCGATAAGCTTACCTCCACAAATACATACATCTCTCGATTGCTGGTGGTGCTTCAGCAAACAGATTTTCCTGTACAGACAACCCATGCACACCCACACATACAGCAGTGAAATGATCACATCCAGGGGAAGCAACAAAAATCTTCCAGAGATTTTACAAACAGGATGACTGTCGTTGACGAACAGCTCAGCATTAACAACTATGACAGTAACAATAACGACAACGACGATGACAAAGTGACGAATTTTCTTCAGATAGAGCTAGCTCATTTTTGAGTACTGACGTCACAAAAACCGGAAAACTGCTTAATGCTATTCTTTCTGGAATATAGCTTAATGCTATTCCTTCTGAAACATGGCTTGATGCTATTCTTTTCGAACATGTAAGGTTTGTTTAGTGCACGAATAGTTACCTCTGGAATGATTTGCCTCTGGAACTCATTCGTGCTCATTCTTCTGGAAAGTTTTCAGAACCTATTAACAGCGCTATGCTATGGCCTTTCATTCAAATTACTGTTAATTAGTGCATTTATTCTCCATTATACTGTTGTAGCCGTTTCTTCAAAATTATCGTAATCTAGTTCATTAATCCTTCATCACTGTAACTTAAAAAGAAATTAGTCCATTTCTGCATAAAAAACTGAAGAAAGAAAACTAGTTTACGGAATGCATAAAAACTGTATACATAACAGAGCTAAGTTATTGATATGGCATAGACTGTTACAACAAAAAATGTAAAACATCTACATTGTATGTTATCTACATTTAGGATTCCGTCCTTACTCATAGGCAAACATCCACGGAAATATGCTTTAATGATTTTTTCCAGGAACAATTTTTTCCTAGAAAAGATATCTTTTCACAACCTCCTTTACGCATGGGCAGATTCTGAAATAGATAAGCTTCCTCAAAGAAATTTACTTTGAAGCAAAACATCTCCCGCTAAAATCCTGCTTACTCATCTAATGGGAGCAGAGAAATTAGAGCAACGTAAGCTTTACGTTCAAGTGCGCTGCTAAAGTGACAGAACTTACTAGCTATAAGCTATAGTTCATAGCATAACCCCAAACAT